CGAATCCAATGCGCACCTTAGTTTTCGCAACATAATTTGGCCAAAAAGGTGAGCATTGTTGTTTAGTCGTTTAGTCCTGTCGGACTCTTCATGACCCCATGGACCAGAGCACGCCAGGCACTCCTGTCTTCCACTGCCTCCCGCAGTTTGGTCAAACTCATGCTGGTAGCTTCAAGAACACTGTCCAACCATCTCGTCCTCTGTCGTCCCCTTCTCCTTGTGCCCTCCATCTTTCCCAACATCAGGGTCTTTTCCAGGAGTCTTCTCTTCTCATGAGGTGGCCAAAGTATTGGAGCCTCAGCTTCAGGATCTGTCCTTCCAGTGAGTACTCAGGGCTGATTTCCTTCAGAATGGATAGGTTTGATCTTCTTGCAGTCCATGGGACTCTCAAGAGTCTCCTCCAGCACCATAATTCAAAAGCATCAATTCTTTGGCGATCAGCCTTCTTTATGGTCCAGCTCTCACTTCCATACATCAGTACTGGGAAAACCATAGCTTTTACTATACGGACCTTTGTTGGCAAGGTGATGTCTCTACTTTTTAAGATGCTGTCTAGGTTTGTCATTGCTTTTCTCCCAAGAAGCAGGCGTCCTTTAATTTCGTGGCTGCTGTCACCATCTGCAGTGAGCATTAGATGCAAGTAAATATGGCATATGCTGGTCTTGCCCTGCCTTAGGATCATTTCAGACATTGCTTCTGCAGTCAATACGGCCTGGCTCAGTCCCATGATGCTCTAGTAAGATATGTTCAATGGGCTCATAGATTGGGTCTCCTCTAGAGTGTAGGCATCTGAAGTGGTTGAGTTAGTGGGCCATTGTGTGTGGATCCTTCACAATGAATCACTAGGTTGTGCCTAACAGATGATGAAACCATATAATGATAAACGACGATGCGTTTCTATTGCCTACTGAATTTTGATCGAACATCTTCTTATAAAAGCATCAAACAGCCCTTCATGTAGGCCCATTCTGGATCCCTTGCATGATTCAGTTAAACACTAAAATAATGTATACGCCACGATGGTTAACAGAGTATTTGTTTATGTGGCAAAGCGTTTCTGATTCCGCCTTCATCAGCTGCTCTGATAAAAATGAAATGACGTTGTTTCCAAGGTGGGAGGCGAAGAGCTTTGAGGATGGACTGCTCAGAAGGACTTCATTTACTGGAGATTAAGGGATGCTGGTACTATCCTGAGCTCATGCTGCGCTGATGTGTCCAGCATGTGTATGTGCATAAGGTCTTCCTCTTTGCTGACATTGTTGGAGATGTTGGCATCTCTATAAGCAATTATTGATAAGTCTGGTCAGATTTGCAGATTTGTGGTTTCTAAATTGTGTGCGTAGGTCGGTTGCCGTTTTGCCTATGCGCTGGGTATGACACCCCCATTGTTGTGCGGCTCACGATATAGGGTATATTGCAGGACCTGCATCCCCTCCCAGAACTACAGTTCTCATAATGGTTTAACAATCAAGCCGTCTTCCCAGGGAACTCTGGGAATTGTAGCTCTTCTGTAGGGGGAATAGGGGTCGCCTAACAATTCTCAGCATATTTAACAAACTACAGTTCCCAGGATTCTTTGGTTGGAGGCGGGAGCCATGATGGCTCACCATAGTATAAGAGTGCTTTAAATGTATTGTGCAGACGGGACCCAAGAGGGTAAGGAACTATAAAATGAGGAGAGCATATGAAGTTAGCAGCTTCAACAGCTACCTTCCCCACCATGGTAAGGAGTACTGTGTTGAAATTATTTCTGAATTTGCATCTGTGCACATAAGTTACCACATGCAAATTGGTGCCCACTTTTTTGGGGTGATTCAAAAGCTCTTTGGAGGCAATGTGTAGTTGTCCTCTCTACGCCCCACCCAATCTTCCATCAAAATGACACTGATCAACCCAAGGCAAACAACAACACCCAAGAAAGCGGGGGTGGGCAGGTCCAATGTGGTGGCACTGCCCCTCCAGAAAGCATCTAGTAGAGATTCCTGCATTGCAAGAAGTTGGACTTCCAAACCTGCAATTCTATTATCTCACTTGGGACCTTTTAAAACCTGGCTGTTCCACTGCTGACCATTTTGACTGTGAACAACTGCAACATAAACTAATTTGAAGGTGGGAGGGGCTTAGAGGGGATTTCACACCCCAGCGCCAGGCTTCAGGGAATCAACTTCCTCCCCCGCTTTGGCAGTAGATAATCAGAACAAAGAGAAAGGAGCCTTCTTACCAGTTAGAAACTTTAATGATCACAGTGAGAGAACAAAGAATCCATTCATAGGAATGAAGGTGCTCCCAATTAAGGGTACCACCCACTTTCCCCCTTGTCACCCACGTCACTTCTACCTCTTGCAACCTGATCTCGCAGCCGCTCTGCTTTCTGCACTGCCACCTTACCTGCTCTTCTTGACCTTGGGCTGAGCAGTTGGTGCTTTCCAGTGACAATGAGTCTATAATAATAATAATAATTTATTATTTATACCCCGCCCATCTGGCTGAGTTTCCCCAGCCACTCTGGGTGGCTCCCAATCGAGTGTTAAAAACAATATAGCATTAAATATTAAAAACTTCCCTAAACAGGGCTGCCTTCAGATGTCTTTTAAAGATAGGATAGCGGCTTATTTCCTTCACATCTGAAGGGAGGGCATTCCACAGGGCAGGCGCCACTACAGAGAAGGCCCTCTGCCTTGTTCCCTGTAACCACACTTCTTGCAATGAGGGAACCGCCAGAAGGCCCTCAGCGCTGGACCTCAGTGTCCGGGCTGAATGATGGGGGTGGAGACGCTCCTTCAGGTATACAGGACCGAGGCCATTTAGGGCTTTAAAGGTCAGCACCAACACTTTGAATTGTGCTTGGAAACTTACTGTGAGCCAATGCAGATCTCTCTTAACTCTCTCTCTCCCAGTTCTCCTCCTCCTAGCTGTTCCCCATCCAGTACTTCCCAGCTTCAGCCTTCTGAACTACGTCCCTCTGCAAACCGCTGTTCCAAATCTATACTACTTCCCTGTTCTGGGAAGATTCAGGATCCCGATCAGGAGCAGGGGGAGTCTCCCACCATTCCTCCTCAGTGCAGCCCTCCTTAGTACGGTCCCTGACACCCAAAAAACTTCCATTCCTGCTACCCCCATTTTTTGGGGGGGGGGGTTTCATTCCAGTGCTAATTTGGCGCCGCCTTTGCCAGGAATCCAAGTGGAAGGGCAGCAATGCCTTTAAATTACTGTGCCACAACGTACTACACAGAGCTGTAAAATGACTCTGTCTCTTCTTTCAAATTGACTCTAACAATGCCAACACCCACCTTTTCTTTTGCCAATAACTTTGTCTCTTATAGTGCCAAGATACTTGAAGGATATCTCTCTGTGTGTATCCTCCCCCCCTTCCAATTATTTCCATCCATCATGGTGTCTCTTCTTTCAATACTTCTGAGGGTATTAATAAAATGTACCCTCACACACACACCCAACACAAAAAATGCTGTTTGGCCTTTCCTGCCTAATTGATTTGACCTACAGGTGATGGTGCATTTGCATATTCATCCGACCTCTTAAGCCGCGAGGGTTCGGGAGGCGAACAGAGGAGCCCGCTTTGAGAAGAATGAGTATTGACACCAGGAGCTCAGCGCGTCCCAGCCTGCCAATACCGAGGGCAGTTTTAGGTGATGCCCAATGTGGCCAACTCAATCAACTCGACAGAAAAATGAATAATTTCATAATGCAAGTCGATACGTGAAATGTGTGTAAGCACACACACAAAAGCTCCAGTTTTGTTTTGCTCCCCCCATTTTCACTATGAGCAAGACAGAGGGTTGAATTCGAGCCCCAAGTGGAGACATCGGACCTGGACATGATTAAACAGTGTGTGTGTGTGGCATGATGGTGGAGAAACAAGCTATGCATAAAAACGAAATATGGACTTACTCTAGGAAACTGGAAAAGGGAGCGATTAGAAAATCAAAAAGCGAAAGGATTTCATGCAATCAGTAGGAGAGGCCCATCTAGTGAATCATGATATGAGAAGCCTTTTAAGCAAATCTTTTAAAATGAAAGGGTTCTCTCTCTCTCTCTCTCTCTCTCTCTCTCTCTCTCTCTCTCACACACACACACACACAGAGAGAGAGAGAGTACCTGAAATTCTACCAGTAAATATGGAGGCTGTGCATATGACCTGCACTAAGCATATGTTCATACGCTTGAAAATTAGAGGTGTGCCAACAAAAAAGGAATGGCAAGACAAACTGTTAGAGTATATTGAATTGGCTAGATTAACAGAGGCAATTAGAGATCACACCAGACAAGAGATTCAAAAAGCATGGGGAAAATGCAGAGAATATGTCACAAAATAGTGCCCTAAAATACATACCTGGACTTGTTTTGATTAATGTCTGCAGGGGACTTTGTGGATACAGTGGTACCTCGGGTTAAGTACTTAATTCGTTCCGGAGGTCCGTTCTGAACCTGAAACTGTTCTTAACCTGAAGCACCACTTTAGCTAATGGGGCCTCCTGCTGCTGCCGCGCCGCCGGAGCATGATTTCTGTTCTCATCCTGAAGCACTATTTCTGGGTTAGCGGAGTCTGTAACCTGAAGCGTATGTAACCTGAAGCGTATGTAACCCGAGGTACCACTGTATTTAAGTTATATTTAGATAAATCTTAATAATTACTCATAAAGGAAACAGCTTATAAGAAGTAAATAAGGAGGCCGGATACAGGATAAAGGAATCTTTTATTTGGTTGTTTGTATTGTTGTATGTTATGCTTATCGTATGTTATGTTCACGTTTAATAAGGGTGGATGTCCGTATTGGGGGGGTTGGGGGATTTACGTTATGTTGTAAATAAAATTTCCAATAAACATTTATTAAAAAAGAAAATTAGAGGTATAAGCAAGCATACCAACATCAACAAGACATTTTATTGCATTTCTTCTTCTATCACACAAAAGGAAGGAACAGCTCTCTGAAGATGGAGCCTGCTGCTATAAAATTGAGGACTAGGAACACATGCTTGAAGCTGAACAAGGGATAGCTCAGCTAGCAGAGCATGAGACCCTTAATCTTAGGGTCGTGGGTTCGAGCCCCAAGTTTGGCGAAAGATTCCTGCATTGCAGGGGGTTGGACTAGATGTTCCCGGGGTCCCTTCTATGAAATATGGCGTTCTGCTGAGGGTGGTGAGAAGAAAGAGGAAGGCACATCCTGAAAGACTTATGTAAAAACCTGTACGTTCCAGCTCTCTGCTCCTTCCCTGCCTCAAGCAGACTAGGAGAAAACTTTTCAGCGTTTGTTTACATGATACCATGGAAGATCCAACAATTGCTTTGGGGAAGCAATTAACTTTTTATAGGTTTCCACTAAGATTTTACATTTTTTTATGGTTTATTTAGTGTTTGTGAGTGTGTGTTCTTAAAGAGAGGCAAAAAATTTAGAGAGTTAAAATGTTCATAATGCAACGACGGCGTAGCATGCATCAAAATTACGAGGAGCATGCTGTTCCTTGCAAGGAGGAAGGGAGAAAAAAATAAATTAAAGTGAGCAACGCAAGTACTTTCAACCTTCAGTTTAATTTCTGGACTCCCGCCAGTTTGTGTCATCATTTGTTGTGTCAGGAAACAAGGAAACAAATAATACAAAATAATAGCACCTAAAGGTTACTGTATATAATCACTCCTTATCGCTTTCGGCTATATGTTATCTTTGCAGGGTTTTGAATATGGAGCTCCTCTGTCATTGCAAGGGCTTCTTCACTCACTGTGACAGAAGCCCTAGTACAAGGATGGAGAGCCTTTTTCCAGCCTATGGGTCAGATCTTCACTTCCCCCGACGAGCCATTCTGACAGGTGTTATTTTAGGTACTTGGGGTACAAGCCATCTAGGGCTTTGTACACTGGTACTAGCAGTCACAAAATTAAAAGACGCCTGCTCCTTGGGAGAAAAGCAATGACAAACCTAGACAGCATCTTAAAAAGCAGAGACATCACCTTGCCAACAAAGGTCCATATAGTTAAAGTTATGGTTTTCCCAGTAGTGATGTATGGAAGTGAGAGCTGGACCATAAAGAAGGCTGATCGCCAAAGAATTGATGCTTTTGAATTATGGTCTGGAGGAGACTCTTGAGAGTCCCATGGACTGCAAGAAGATCAAATCTATCCATCTTAAGGAAATCAGCCCTGAGTGCTCACTGGAAGGACAGATCCTGAAGCTGAGGCTCCAATACTTTGGCCACCTCATGAGAAGAGAAGACTCCCTGGAAAAGACCCTGATGTTGGGAAAGATGGAGGGCACAAGGAGAAGGGGACGACAGAGGACGAGATGGTTGGACAGTGTTCTTGAAGCTACAAACATGAGTCTGACCATTGAATCATTGAATCATAGAATCATAGAATCATAGAGTTGGAAGAGACCACAAGGGCCATCGAGTCCAACCCCCTGCCAAGCAGGAAACACCATCAGAGCACTCCTGACATATGGTTGTCAAGCCTCTGCTTAAAGACCTCCAAAGAAGGAGACTCCACCACACTCCTTGGCAGCAAATTCCACTGTCGAACAGCTCTTACTGTCAGGAAGTTCTTCCTAATGTTTAGGTGGAATCTTCTTTCTTGTAGTTTGGATCCATTGCTCCGTGTCCGCTTCTCTGGAGCAGCAGAAAACAACCTTTCTCCCTCCTCTATGTGACATCCTTTTATATATTTGAACATGGCTATCATATCACCCCTTAACCTCCTCTTCTCAAACTACGGGAGGCAGTGGAACACAGGAGTGCCTGGCGTGCTCTGGTCCAGGGGGTCATGACGAGTCGGACACGACTAAACGACTAAACAACAACAACTAGCACCCTGAACTGGACCTGGCAATGAACTGGTAGCCTGTGTGAAGTTTTCAGGACAGGTGACTCAATACATCATACATTTCCCTTTTTCCCTTGAAAGTGGGGGTGGTAGCTGACATGAGGGTTGAACTTGCAATGGGGCATTACGCCCTAGATGTTTGCAAAAAAAAATTGCCCACAATCAAGAGAGAGATCAGGTTGCAAACAAGTAGAGATTGCCAAACGGCCATTTGGCAACAATGCGAAACCAGAAGCCTCACTTTGCTCAGTCAACAACACTTTATGTTAATTTAATTTCTTTTTCCTTTTTTAAAGAGAGTGGCCCCCCACATTGGAAAGAATAATTGTATAAGCGAGGCTTTCTTGACGAATGCTTTCTCCCTTTCCCCGTTAATTTTATTGCATCTTACCTATGAACTGAGACATCTATGCTCCCCTCTGTAATTCCTAAGAGATATTTTATCAACAAAGATATACCGAGATGTTGGAAGATGTTGGAATGAAATAACGACAGACGAGTAGCAGGTGTCATGTGAGAGGCATCTCTCGAGCAAGCCCCCGAGGAGTCTCTTTTATTGAATATTGCAACCTTTCCACATATGTGCTTGTTGCTGATTGGTTAACATGAATACAATGCAAGGGCATTAATCATAAGGGTTGGGAAAGGGAACGCATGGTTACTAATGATTGATATTGCATGACTTGAAAGAACATAACAATCGCAGTCCGTAGATGTGGTCAACAGTGCATTAAGAACAGGTCAAGGTACACTGTTTCATGAACTCAATGGGAACTGTTCAGAACATTCTCAGACTCATGTGCAGAGGCAAAAACTTCCCAGCATCCCGGCAGATAAAAAAGGACAATGTTTGAATTAAAATAAGTGAGTCAAGAGTACAGCATGAACTAAATCATGTTCCACTACCTTTCATATTTCAATTGCTCCTTAAGATCAGGAAGAGGGTATAGCCTGCTCTCAGCAGCTGTGAAGACACCCTCTTCCTTCTCTCTCACACACACCAATTTACTCTTCTGGCACATCAATAAGGGCAACAGGGTGGCTGAAGAAGTCAACCCAAGTTCATTCATTCAAGACTGGTGCTTGCTTTGGGAATGTACCCAAGTTTCATCTTGTCTTCCTACAACATCCATCGATCATGAGGACAATGTTCACATAGCACACTGCAAAGGACACAGTTCATTGCCACAAGGTATCCTGGTGCCTTTGAAAAAGGATTAGACCTCACAATTGTCCTTTAGATTTTGCTGACCTCCCTCTCCCATCGGTCACAGCTGGCCTGGCCAGAGGTTAGAAATAATGGATGTTCTAGTTCAGCAACATACAGTGGTACCTCGGGTTAAGTACTTAATTCGTTCCGGAGGTCCGTTCTTAACCTGAAACTGTTCTTAACCTGAAGCACCACTTTAGCTAATGGGGCCTCCTGCTGCTGCTGCACTGCTGGAGCCCGATTTCTGTTCTTATCCTGAAGCAAATTCTTAACCTGAAGCACTATTTCTGGGTTAGTGGAGTGTGTAACCTGAAGCATATGTAACCTGAGGTACCACTGTATAGAAACAGTTGTTGATGTCCACCTGTCTCAAGAGACAATGGAGTGTGCCTCCAGGGATGAAGTCAAACCGCTGCGTCAGCAGCACCGAAGTGATCTCCATGGGATGCAAACCTGGGCAGTGTGTATGGAGGTCCTGGGCTGCCCAGACGACAAGACCCCTCTCTCAGCCTCTCTGATGTAGTCCAAAGGAAAGCAGAGCAAGACATTTGGTACCAGCTTGGCTGCAGGAATTGCTGGAAGGAGGAGAACAAGGTGCCATCCAACTGTCTTAGGGACAATGCTTTGGATTTGTGTAGCCTTTTTTTCTCCAGAAGATTTAGGACCAGAGTTTTCTTATCCCTATATGGGCTACCTTTACCTTTACCTGCCTCATCTGCCTCTCGCTTCCCTCTACAATACACCCAGTAACTGCCTTCTTGACCGTTGGACCCACTATTGGTCTTGTCCGCTCAATCCGCTGAAGCCTGTCTTCGCATAGAGGGGAAGTCCCTAACTCACAGAGGATTTGAGTCCCATCGGCTACCCTCCCCTGGTTTAGCTGGCCAATCACAAGCTGTTCCTGAGGTGTGGCTGCTGTCACATTCTGACATCCTCTAGGAGCCCCAGGTGAGAAGTGAGTGAATGCTTGGCCTGGCTTGTGGCCTGCGTGAAGAATACCTGCTTCACCAAGCTGTTAATCATGGAATTGTAGCATTGGAAGGGACCACAAGTGTGGCGATCACACAGGGTCCCCCGACATTTAATGGTCTGTTGATCCCTGTGCCACCACTGTGCTCGCTTCCCTGCTTCCACCGACCCGTTACTCTCTGGTAAAACACCAAGTCCAGACAGTTGTTAAAAGTGAACCAAAAAAACCAAGTTTATTTTACAAACATTAACAAGTTTATGGTTTCTCAGATAATATTCCTGTCAGTATCTTAACTTTAGTTTCTTTACCGGCCTATACCTTCCTAATACAGTGGTGCCTCGCAAGACGAAATTAATCCGTTCCGCGAGAGTCTTCGTCTAGCGGTTTTTTCGTCTTGCGAAGCAAGCCCATTGACGGATTAGCGCTATTAGCGCTATTAGCGGTTTAGCGGCTATTAAAGGCTTAAAGGCTTAGGGGATTAGCTGCTAAAAGGCTATTAAAGGCTATTAAAGGCTTAGCAGATTAGATAAAGGGGGGGAAAAGCGGAAAAAATCTCAAGACTCGCAAGGTATTTTCGTCTTGCGAAGCAAGCCCATAGGGGAATTCGTCCTGCGAAGCAACTTCAAAACGGAAAACCCTTTCGTCTAGCGGTTTTTCCGTCTTGCGAGGCATTCGTCTTGCGGGGCACCACTGTACCTTCTGACTGATTATCTCAGCTGTTTGACTGACTCCTCTTAACAAATTCTCTCACTCTCTTGCACCAGACTAGCCCAACCCACAGACTTATCTTCTCTGTCTCTCCTAACTCCAGACTGTCTTCTCAACAACTCTCTCTAAAAAACCTCTGTGCTTAAACCTTATACAGTGGTACTTCAGGTTAAGTAATTCGTTCCGGAGGTCCGTTCTTAACCTGAAACTGTTCTTAACCTGATGCACCACTTTAGCTAATGGGGCCTCCTGCTGCTGCCGTGCCGCCGGAGCACAATTTCTGTTCTCATCCTGAAGCAAAGCTCTTAACCTGAAGCATTATTTCTGGGTTAGCGGAGTCTGTAACCTGAAACGTATGTAACCTGAGGTACCACTGTACACAGTTAACTCTGCCCCTGGGTTCCCATTGGTTAGTCATTTTACAATTAGTTAACCCTTTCCGTATGAACCCAGTATGATGTCACACCCATAGGAGGGCAAACACCACAATGTGGGTCATCTAGTCCAACCCCCTGCAATGCAGGAATCTTTCACCCAACATGGGGCTTGAACCCACAACCCTGATATTAAGGGCTTTTTGCTCTACCAACTGGGCTATCTGGCGCATGCTGAGGTGGAGAACCTTTTTCAGCTGGGTGGCAGGATTCACATCAGGCCAACCTTCGGGGGGGGGGGTGGGGCAAAGTGGGCAGGTCCTGATGGAAAGGCAAAAAAAGCGAAAAACTATTTTATTGGTTTCGCCTTTCTCTCACTGCACCTTACTCGATCCATTTTATGATTGCTTTCCATCCCTTCTCCCGCATTTGGCTGACGGTGAGGGATGATGGTAGCTGTTGTTCAAAATACCTGGAAGGCCCCAGCCTGGGGACGGCTGGCTGGAGTCTCCAGAGTTTGCAAGCCCAGAGCTCTCAGGGACACAAAGGAGAAAGGCCAGTGAATGGGCGGCAGAGTTCAAAGCGCCAACAAAGGAAGCCCCTCACAATGACTAACTGCAATCTATTATCTCCGTGGAATTAATGCCCATTCATGGGTGGGGATAAATGATATCCTGTCACCGAAGCATTTTGCTGAGAAATTCATTGTGCTCTTGCCATGCGGCGAGGCTGGTGCCAAAATCCACACACTGGGATTCCGCCGGGCAGAGAACGTGGATCTCAGCAAAGTGCCGAGTCAAAACCTTGGAGCTGGTTGTTGACAGAGGTCGCTGAGTTTCCCACAGTATCGGCCCCGGAGAGACCCTGCAAGGGAGCGAAGGGAAAGCGAGGTGAGCGATGGCAAGGCGGGAGCAGGCTTTGTGCGCACGTGGAATGACGTCAGCAGATGAGTCATCCGTCGCCTATAAAGGAAGCTATACAAAATGACAAAAAGGCAGAAGTTGGCAGCCTGAGAGAAAAGTCCTGCAGGGAGGGGGATAAAGGCTGAGGAAATTCATTTGCTTGGTGCTCAAGTAGAGGGTTGAAGCACAGATTCCTAAACATGGGCACAGCATGTTTAATAATAATAACAATAGTCCCTGCTCATATTGTTTAGGAGATTGAAGGGAGGCTGGGGTCAGGGCTTGCTGTAGGTTTGTGCTCATTCTGGGTAAGATCCTCTATGCCTTTAGTTGTGTGGGTCCCCCCCCCCGCCCATTGCAATGGGTGATGAGCAGCTTTAGCTATCCTCTTCATCTCCTGATCATCATCATTATCACCACCACCTCCAAGGAGCTCAAAGTAGTGCTTCTCCTCCCCACTCTCCTCCCCACATAGTTGTCTTGGCTAGTAGTCAGGGCTGTCTTAAGCATATGCGGCGCTGGGGTGCAAAGATCCGCCTGGCTGCCTCAGTGTCTTGCTGGCTCGGTCACCCCCAAACTCACGATGCAGAGCCGCCTGCAGCAGAAGAGCCCATCACAGCGCTGCAACCGACGGGTGGGCTCTTCCCCGGACTCAATTCTTGGGTCCCGGACTCTTGGCCTGGCGCCCCTGAGAGCCCGGCACCCGGGTGTCCTGCACCCCTAGCGCCTATGGGTAAGACGGCCCTGCTAGTAGCCATTGATCTATGAACGAAACATGTTGGGCAGCAACAATGTTCCTTGCTCTATGTCTCTCCAGACACTGTCAAGTATGACGAGTGCCTCTTTGAAGAGGTCCATGGCAGCAGCAACTGCATGTGGAAACAGAAACACTCCCACGTCGCCAAGATGTGACCCTGCTCTGCCTGGGAAACAGGTGAGGTCACACACAGTGGCATAACAAGGTCAGGTGGTACCCAGTGCGAAGAAGTTCTTGTTACCCTCCCACATTTATTTATTTTTTTGCCTGCAAAAATGGTTTGACTTTATTATTATTATTTTTGCAGAGCCAGAGTTTTTAGGGATATTGCGTGCCTTGGACAAGGAGTCTTCCACCCGCCCAACAGCTGAGGCGAAAGCGGGAAGCCTGTGCGCACCAAAGCCACAGCGTCTCTCACAGACGTTGACTGCTGCACAGCATTTTGTCACCCCCCTCGAAGGTGACACCCGGGGCAGACCGCACCCACCTTGAGACGCCTCTGGTCACACACACACACACACACACACACACCCTGCTGAAAAATGTGGATTACTGGAGCTCAGCAAAAGAGTGCTGAATTAGCTCGCCCTGTCTCCAGTGGGTTTAGTTTGATGTGTCCCTGGACAGAGATAGATGCATAGCTTGTTAGGTTTTGTATACTGTACATGGAAAGACTGCAGCTCCGTGCTAAATCAACTGTTGTCCAGTCCAATGGAAGCATTTCAAAAGAGCCTGCTAGAATTCACAAGCAAAGCAAATTCCCACCCCGGGAGAGCGTTTGTAGGGAAATGCATGGATCCAAGGAGATGGGTGGACATAGAATCATAGATTTGTAGAACTGGAAGGTAACCCTGAAGGCTATCTAGTCCAACCCCCTGAAATGCAGGAATATGCAACTGACCCATACAGGGATTGAACCTGCAACCTTGATGTGATCAGCACCACGCTCTGACTGAGCTATCCAGTAGGGAAGATGGGTGATGAAGTGTAGGTGGGGTCTCACGAGGCAAAACACAGTGATAACAGCAAGAACCTTTATTGAACTAACAGAACTGGACAACAGGGGCAATGCAACTGCTTATATACATTTCTGAAGGCCTGGGCCACTCCCACTCCCCACATGATTGGCTGTCTAAACTTACAAGCTGCAAATCATGACTCAGAGTTCAAGGGCCAATGGCAGAGGCCCAAATCTTGAAATGTTCTGTGATTGGATAACATGTATCGAATCAGAACACAGGAGCTCAGAATCCTTAATCCAGACTCAAAGCTCAGGCAAACACAGACCACTGAATACATAACAGGTGAAGTCCCTATTTTTTTGCTTCACACAAGGAAGAGCGACATAAGAAACCGTCTCTGCATCTAGAGCAATAAATCCCACGCACAATCCAAATCACCCTCCCTATTATAGTAAGAGCATCTACCGTCCTTGCATTTTGTTACAAAATGTGTGTGATCGTTAGGCACCCTGTTAACTAACAGGCTTCTGGGATTACGGTCAAAACTGGGTGGAATCCTGGGAGATGATTTTCGCTTGGGATTACAGGTTTGTATTCTGAATCAGGATTTATGAACCTCAGAGCTTTCGCTAATTATTTTGTAATTGCTCATGGTGGGAGCTGTTCTGGTACAGCCCCCCCCCCCCATTCCATTCAGTTAGCACCACTAGGCTGCAGGAGTTGCAAGCACCATCACATCAATTCAAATGAATATTTAAAGCCGCCAAGAGATAAAAGGGAAGGATTTTCAACACATCAAAAGAGAAGCAGTTGTAACATCTAATAGGATGAGAGGTTAGCCCCTTTTTCACGCAAAGGTCCTGCCAAAGGGCTTCAGACGTTGCTTACTATCCACAAGAATTTAACAATGAAAACAGAGGGGAACGTACTAAACGGATATGAAAATCTGAAAGACATGGCATAGCTCAGATCTACAACAGTGAGAAAACAGTCTGTGAAAATCTACTTTTAAAAATATTGTGTTTGGATTCTCCAGCAAAGAAAAAGTTTCCAGGTCTGGCTTGGCTTGTTAATTTCTCTGTGGGCACAGAAGGTTATATGGTGAGATTATAATAAAATGTGTTTGTGTGTCTAGACTGAAGTACTCAATTAGTGAGGTTCTGGTTGGGTACAAGCGACGACACACTGAAAGCAGCAGCAAAGTCCTACTGATTTTTATGAAATAGGGTTGTGGCTGAAATACGACTGGAAGACATATCAGTCAAGCTTAGCTCTATGCACACAGTACGTCATAATAACCTTAAGGACCTTCTAGTGGCACTCTAGATATTATGGTTTGCTGTTTCAGTGGCAGTAGGTTGGTGGCGCATGGCTTAAGCCATTTTTTACCACTGCAAAACAGCATCTAAGCTTTGGCCAACACTGTGTGTTCCTCACAGGTTCACCCTCCCACATGCCCAGTTTAGTGGCAGATAAAATCTGTCAAGAGATTTGCTGACTAGCAACGGACTTGTTCATGCTTCTCCTGAGCTATTTTGATCAGGTGCTTCCATCTAGATGTGCCTGATCACCCTCCATCAAAAGGTAGGTCTTCAAAAGGGGCTGCAAATAACAATGGAGACAGCACCAGTCTGGTGTGTAACAGAAGTTCCAAAACGTAGGTGCCACCACATGGAAGGCCTCATTCCTACACCAGGGCCTCCTGTTGAGATGGTATCTGCAGGAGGACTCTTTTCCTGAAGAGCACAAGTGGAATTCTTCTTCTTCTTCTTCTTCTTCTTCTTCTTCTTCTTCTTCTTCTTCTCTCTGTCCCTATCTCTATCCCTATCCCTTCCTTTTCCAGACCAGGACTCAAGGCGGCTTACACAATTTAAAACAACACAGATAATACGCAGAAGGCTAAAAACATATAAAAGATAATAGTTAAAGAATAATTAAACTGTCATAGAATTAAAACAATATGAAAACAGATCTGTTATCTATGATTCAACTACAATATAAATAATAAAAACAGCACAGCACTCTTTCAAACCCTTTCCTTAAAAAACAGTCCTCCAAAGCCTGTCCAAATAAAACAGTCCATATATATATATATATATATATATATATATATATATATATATATATACACACACACACACTGTTTTACCATTTAGAATATTCATTTAAACTACCTTAAAATAGCAAAGACTTCCCTTCTTCTCATTCCATGGTTCATTTTGCATAACATAAATCCCTGCATATTTTACATAAACTAAACCATTCAGTTTATTATTACATCCATCAAAACTTATTTACACTATTGAATTTGTCTTAATGCTGCCAACGTTTTCAAGTGCCGAATAAAACAGTCTTCACCTGCCGGCATAAGGGCAACTGGGAGGGAGCCACTCCCCGTTCCAAAGTCTAGCGGCAGCCACCGAAAAGCCCCTCTCCTGCATATCCGTGAAGCGTGCCTGTGAGAATGGTGGAACCAGGTGAAGGGCTACCCAGAAGAGCCCCGGGTGGGTTTGTATGGGAGAATAAAGCCTGAGCCCAAAGCAGTATAGGGCTTGATAGGTCATAACCAGCCCCTTGAATTTTGCCCAGACTGGGAGCCAGTGGCGCTGT